CTGTGCCTTCAAATGGCTTCTACTGTACTGCTGTAAAATGAATTCTACTGTACAACGCAGTGGAGTTGCCATGGTAACGGCTTCACAGTACTCCACAAGGGGGCTCCCTCTGGTAAGGGGGAAAATCCAACATTAGAAATTACATTTGATCTGGACATTCCCCCCCCCCCCGGATAAATAAATACCTGGATAACACCGGGTTATCGACTAGTGTTATGATAAAAATGGTAGACCTCAGGCAGGCTAACTGCTCCCATCATCCGCCTTGGCTCTTCCTATAAATAACCTTAAAAAGCATTCCTGCCCTTCCCCATGACACCACCGCCTCACTAGATTACAGTCCTTGAGTTACAACCACAATAGAGCCCAAAATTTATGTGGCTAAGTGAAACATTTCCTAAGTGAGTTTGCCCCATTTTGGGACCGTTCTTGCCACAGCTGTCAGTGAACCATTGCATTTGTTAATTTGTGAAACTGGTTTCCCCATTGACTTTGCTTGTCAGGAGGTCGCAAAAGGAGATCACATGATCCCAGGATACAACAACAATCATAAATATGAACTGGATGCCAAGTATCTGGATTTTGATCATGTGACCCTGGGGATGCTACAAGTCTGAAAATGGTCATCATTCACTTTTCTTCAATGCCATTGTAACTTTGATCGGTCACAAAGTGAAATGTTGTAAAATAAGGAATACCCATGCTTCCTGAGGTGCCTCCAGAAGAAGGGAAGCTGAATTGGACCCTTCAACCCCTAACGTTGCTCATCCCTGATTTATTTATTCATTTATTTAATATTGCTGCCTATTCACCCATGGCAACTCAAAGCAGCTTACGGAATATAAAACCACATTTAAAACAATTAAAAACGAACAAAAAGAATCAAATAAATTAATACAGCACAATATGACAAAATCTGCCCCCATGTAGAGTGCCTTGTAATAGTCAAGACGGGAAGTGACTAAGGCATGAGTGATTGTGAGTAGGGACTGTTGGTCCAGGGAAGGGCATAGCTGGCGCACGAGCTGCATTTGTGCAAAGGACTTTCTGGCCATGACCGCCACCTGCTCTTCCAGGAGGAGTCATGAGTCCAGGAAACCCCCTAGATTACGCACAGGGTCTGTTTGGGGCAGTGCCACCCATTCAAGACCAAAGGTGGCAATTCTCCCTGAGCCAATGAACCCCAAACCCACAGCCACTTGGTCTTGCAAGGGTTTGCCATATTTTTCGGAGTATAAGACGCAGAAAGGTTTTGAAGAGGAAAAAATTTTTTAAAAAAGTTTTTGCCCTCTGCAAACCTCCCAAAAACAGCCCAATTTTGCAAAAATGGGCCCTTTTCTTTTTTTAAAAAAAAGGGCAAGAAAACCCCTTAGGGGGTTTATAGAGTGTTACGGGGGGGGGGGGGGAGCAAAAAAAGGGCATTTATAGCCTCTAAGAAGCTTATAGAGTGCTGCTGGCGGGGGCAAAAAATGGGCCATTTTCCACTCATTTCTGCCCTCTCCAGCCCCCAGGAGCACTCTGGAAGCCTCCTAAAAGCTATGCATGGCCATTTTGGTGAAGGAGGCAGAGTTTCAGCAGGCAAAAAATGCTGTATTCAGTGTATAAGATGCACCCAGATTTTCAGCCTCTTTTTTGAGAGAAAAGGGTGCATCTTATACTCTGAAAAATATGGTAGTTTCAACCAATTGCTCCCCATCCAGCCCCTAACAGCCTCTGCGAGAGGGAGGACACGAAAGGGAGGGCATTTAGCTTCTGGTTTGTTGGTAGAGAACAACGTGTGACATGCCCTCTCAATGAGGAAGCCACTGACATTTTCATAGCACGACCCCTAATCAAGAAGCATTCCCATAATATGTCCTGGAAAGCAATGCAAGCAGGTTGCACCCACAGCATCAAAGGGAGGGTGCTCCAGCTGTACAAATAGGGAGGTAAATGCATACATAAAAATACTTTTCTCACACTTAAACAAATCAAAGGGATGACAGAAGGATGGACATAGTAGATTATGCTCAGGCCTTCGAATAAGGAGGTGCTGGACATAAAAACGAGAGTGCTTTCCTTTTATCTTAGGATGGATGGGGAGAATAGTCTTCTCTTTCTTTATGTTGGGAAGTTCAGAGTGACAAGCATCTCCATTTTGAAGAACCTGGTTTTCATCAGAACCTCCATAAATACATAAAACATGTGTAAAGGTTCTTTTCAATATTTCTTACAGAACAGGCACCGCGTTTCCCCGAAAATAAGACAGGATCTTATTTTCTTTTGACCCCTGAAATAAGCGCTTGGCCTTATTTTCGGGGAGGTCTTATTATTTTTGAGGTCCAGGAGACTGCGAGTGTGATCATGTCATGGCTGCTGCTGTGTTGCAGTATTTTCAGGGAGGGCTTATTTTAGTGCAGGCGCTCAAAAGCCTGATTGGGCTTATTATCCAGGGAGGTCTTATTTTCGGGGAAATAGGGTAAATAACAAGCCACAGCGTTTAAATCTACCACTAATACAATTTCTATGGAGATTCTCAGTCATCCAAGTCATGCTTGTCCCAAAGGTGCTTTTTCAAGAGGCAACTGGACTTTCTGGTTTTGTTTTTTTTAAATACTTTTTTATTTTCCATTTTCATAACATATAATCACATGTATACATAGCCAATATCATATTGTATTAATTAATAATTACATCAGTTCATCATGCCATCAACTCCCGGAAAAAAAACCTAAAAAAGATAGAAACCAATTATTGGCTCTTCTGCTCTCCATACACCACTTTCTTCTGCCTCTCTCCTCCCCCTCCTTACCTCCTTTCTTCCCTCCATCATCCTTTTCTACTTTACTTCCCCTTCCTTTCTCCTTCTCCTCTCTCTTCTTTCCACTCCTCCTTATTCTCCTCATCTTCCTCCTCTTGCCCTCTCTCCTATCCCTCCCTTCCTATCTTTCTTCTCGCCTCTGCTTCCCACTCTTCCTCTCATTAATTTGGTGTATTTCTGGGGAGGGTTTTGAAGACATTTCGGTTTTCATCCAAGACACTTCAGAGCTGAAGAAGCTTCTTGGATGAGAAGCAAAAAGTCTTCAAAGAAAAACCAGAAAGTCCCATTGCCTCTTGAAAAAGCACCTTTTTGGACACTAATAAAGTTCCATAAAGAATGTAATACATTTTAAGAGGAGGATTTGGTAGTTCTTAATGGTAAGAACACCATCCAGGCTGCCAAGAAATGTTTTTGTAAAATGAAGCCGGCAGTATTTTTCCCCGCCACCTCCACAACAAAATTAACATTGTGAGTGCGTTCAGAAAGGCACAACAGCTTTTAGTAGAGAAGTTTGGGGGAGGCTGATTGGTAAAACTGCAGTAACTACAGTTGCCCAATACTTACCTATCAAGCGTGATTCCAGATCATTTTCTAATTTCTGTAACAACTGGATAATATGGATAGATGCATCAATCAGACCCAGGCTCCTATAAAGGTCCATTTACAAATGGAGAAATTAACATTATATGCAATATTATTATACAGACACATTATAAAACTCTCAGAAAACACCATTATATACACTCTACAACAGAAAACACAGAGCAAAGCAATCCTCTACCACTGTTAACCTTTGTGGTAGCATCAAGATGTTGGCAGAAAAAGATGGAATTGAAGAAAATGAGGAATTGGCTGAATGAGCCTCTATTACCTTCTCAACAAACCTATTAAATCTTAGGCTAATGGCCTGTGTTATATGATCATCCTGTGAGCTTCCTGGCTCAGGTGGGCTTGCCAGCATCCAGAATTGAGGATATCTCTTTAGCGCAGCGGTATGGCAAATTGGTGCTGAACTTGCACTCTTAAAATGCAGCCAGGCAGCTGCACAGAGAACCGGTTTAACCCTTTGGATGGTCTTTGAGGGCAGCCCCAGGTAGACCAAACTGCAACAGTCCAAACTTGAGATGGCAAGTATACAAATGACTACAAGTTACGCTTTCTAACCAAGGGATGCAACTGGCGTACAAAACATAATTGCTTAAGATTAATTGGCGATAGCCTCTTCCCTCTGTTCCAGCAGGATCAATGAGACCAGGAAAACCACCAGAGGTGGTATTCAGACGGTTCGGACTGGTTCGACTGAACCGCTAGCAATAAACTGCAGGTGAGCCGGCCCACTCGCCTTCTCTTCAAAACATCCTATGTAGCTTCGTTCTTGATGTTGTGCGCATGCGTGCATGCCATGCATGTGAGTAAAGCGCATGCGCAGAAGACCACACACATGCACAGAAGGCACGCGTGACACGAGTGTGTGAATGCTCACAGTGGCGAACCGGTGGTAAACCTAAGTGAATCCCACCACTGAGAATCACCAGATTGCAAATGGCTCTGAATATAGGAGGATGGACCATTTCTGGTTGCTGATGGTCTCCAAACCCCAAAACACTCTTTTTGCTACGATTCAGCTAAAGCTGTTCATCTCCATCCAGATCCTAACCAGTTCTAGGCATTCAAGTCATTTCAACTTTGACTAATGCCCAGATTCATTCAACACTATGAAAATGAATATTACTATGAGAGGTCCTATTCATAATATTGAAGAAAATATGTTACTTTGAGTCTTCAGACTCTCTCTGTGATTGAAGTACTATGGGTATTAAAATAAAATGGCTTCCACCACTGAATTGAGAACAATACTGTCCATAAAATGGAGAAAGTCTGAAATCTGCAACCACAAAACATTTTAAATATACAATTCCTAACTGTGGCCTGTTTCAGTTTATTAATGAGGCAATACAAATTATAGTTTATCGCCACATATGAACTACATCAATACATTCTTCTAGCTCATGCCCATTGTTTTCAGTAATGCCAGTATAGTGTTAAAATATCTAGAGAAAACTCACCTCTCTCTAAAACGACAATATTCAATTTAAAAAAAAAAGGTATGGTATTTAGTAAGAATTTTAAGAAATTAAATTGAATGGAATTTTAAGAAATTAAATTAAAAGAATCAAATGAGGCACTGCCTGTACTGTTCCAAAAAGTTATTATCCTTTCTAGTGGGTAAATCCAAATAGCTGAGCTGAGCCATATCTCATGATCATCTTTGCATGAAGAACTCACTGCATATTTTTTACACAAACTATTAAAGAAGCAGAAAACTAGGAAATCTTTTTTTACAAGAAGTAGTAATAAGAGATCATAAAAGTGGTCTCCACAATTGCTATTCTTTAGTGAAATTTTAGGTAATACCACAAAGAGTACATTGTGGCAAATATTGAATGAATGAATGAATGAATGAATGAATGAATGAATGAATGAATGAATGA